ATGCTGTAAATCAGGAACAAAAACAGAAGTTGCTGGAAAAGCTCTGGCAGCATCTGTGAAAAAAACGTTTTGGGTCTGGGGAAGGGTCACCGGACCTGAAACGTTAACTCTGACTTTTTCTTTCTTCACAGATGCTGCCAGAGCTTTTCCAGCAACTTCTGTTTTTGCTGTGGTTAAAAGGGCGTTTGGCACACATGCCTTCATTGCTCAGACTTTTGAGTACAGGAGTTGGGACCTCACGTTGAGGGTGTACAGGACGTTAGCGAGGCCTCTTCTGGAGCACTGTGTCCGGTTCTGGATGGCCCGTCATAGGAAGGATATTATTAAACTGGAGAGGGTTCAGAAGAGATTTACCAGGATGTTGCCGGGTTTGGAGGATTAGAGTTATAAGGGAACGCTGGAAAGGCAGGGACATTTTTTGCCTGGAGCGTAGCAAGCTGAGGGCTGACGTTATAGAGGTTCATAAAATAATGAGGGGCACAGATAACGTGAATGGTAGGTGCCTTTTTTCCTAGAGCGGGGGATTTCAAGACTAGGGGGCATAATTTTAAGGCGAGAGGAGAAAGATTTTAAAGAGACGGGGTGGGGGGTAGCAGAGTGGTTCGTGTGTGGAATGAACTTCCCGAGGAAGTGGTGGACGTGGGTACAGTTACAACGTTTAAGAGACATTTGGATAAGTACATGGAGAGGAAAGGTTTGGAGGGATACGGGCGAGGAGCGGGGCAGGTGTGGGACTAGTTTAGTTTGGGATTATGGTCGACATGGACAGGTTGGGCCGAAGGGTCTGCTTCCGTGCTCCCCCGCCCTCTCTCACCCCCTTACCTCCCACCACCCCCCACCCCCCCTCACCTCTCTGAAGCGCTTGATTGCATCTCCGATCAGTGGGTGCTGCAGTTCCTCACGTGTGAGGACCTCCACCAGCTGGGGAAAGATCTGCTCAAAATCCCATCCATCCGCTTTCAGCCTGTCCACACTCATGGCCCACTGCCTGCCTGTGGGGTGGGGATGGGGTGTGTGGGGTGGGGATGGGGTGTGTGGGGTGGGGATGGGGGATGGAGGGGGGGGGGGGGGGGGG